CTCCCCTGCGCAGGGGCAAAGCGCAGCGGCGCGGCAGCGGTACCGCCCTCGGCCTGCAGCCCTCTCGTGCGCGGCCCCGCCCGCTGCTGGCTGGCGCGCGAGCGGCGGCGCGGGCTGCCGCGCGCCCGCGCCCGCCGCGGGCTCCTCCCCTAACGCAGGCACCAGGAGAAGTAGCAGCACCACCACCAGGGGCCATCAGCGGGAGGAGCCAGGGGGGGGGAGGGCCCTGGTGGTGTGCCCCCCCCCCCCCCCCCCCCGCCCCTCGCTCGAGACATCCTCTGTATCCCCAGCTCGGGGGGGCATTGTGACCTCCTCGGTGCAGGTGGCCCCCTGGTGGTGGTGGTGGTGGTGGTGGTGGTGGTGGTGGTGGTGGTGGTGGTGGTGGTGGTGGTGGTGGTAGTGTCGCTCCCCCTTCTCTCGGGATTGCTGCCCCAATAACGTTGCCCCCTGATAAGGATGATGATGATGATGATGATGATGATGATGATGATGATGCTGATGATGATGACGAGGAGGAGGATGGGGAGGAGGAGGAGGGAGAGGAGGAGGAGGACAAGCTCGGTGCGCTCGCGCCATATCTGACATCCTGTCTCTCCCTCCCATCTCTTCCCACTGCGATCACATTTCTCTACCCGTGGACGCGTGTCACTTTGCCGACATGGCCGACCTTGAACTCCCCAGAAGACTCCATCGTGTTACGCGCAGTCGGAAAAAGGAAACCTGCGGGGCATGTGTTGGAAATCGCTGGGGGGGCAACGTTGTTTCCAACACCAAATCCCAAGACGCTCGGCCGGCGCGCTTGATCTGCCAATAGTCGATAGCGATCCTTAGTACCCCCACTCGCAAGAAGCTCGGATCTTAGGTTTGCTCTTACCGACGATTGGGCTGCTCAGGTTTGCCCTTCCCCTATGACCAGTACCTTCTCCGCAGGTGACGTTCGCTGCCCCTCAGCGAACTTCACGACCTGTGCGACCACTGTGGCCTGTGGGGTCTGTGAGACCTGTTGGACCTGTGGCAACCTTGGGACCTGTGGGAACTGTGAGAATCGTGGGACTCGTGAGATCTGCCAGACCTGAGGAAACCGTGGCACTGGCGGGACATCTGTGGGACCTGTGGAACATACGACACCTCGGGGACCTGTGGGACCTGCTAGACCTGTGGGACCTATGGTCATGCGAGACCTGCGACACCTGTGGGACCTGGCAGACCGGTGGTACCTGTGGGACGACCTGCGACACTTGTGGGTCCTGTGGGACCTGTGGGACCTGTGGGGCCTGCGAGACCTGCAAAACATTTTGGGCCTGCGAGACCTGCGGGATCCAGAACATGTGGTCCACGATGGGGTAGGAAAGTCATCCTGAGCGACGGGAGCACAGCGCCGATCCGAACATGAGGCACACGCCTTAGCGAGAACTCCACGTTTGAAAAACGGTAAGTCGGATGATGGAAAACACATATGCAAACATGCCAATTCGCGCACATCTGGTGCACAACAGATCGGACGCGAGGGGGGCGAACACTCACAGGACGTATTCGGGGGAGGGAAGGGACCAGTACTCATATCTTGCACTCGTGGGGGAGGGGGAAGGAGAAGGCAGGAGAGGACCAGGAGGGGCAGGAGGAGGAGGAGGAGGAGGAGGAGGAGGAGGAGGAGGAGGAGGAGGGCTCGTAGCCACTTGGGCTCCAGGGCCCTTCGCGGGATCCCTCCCCCGCACTCCGGGCGCGCGCCCCCCGGCACGCCCGGCGGCCTGGCGCTGCGCCCCCGGCCACGCCACGACGGCAAGGCGAGGGCCGAGGGCCGCCCGCGGGGCGGCCCCGAGGTTCGCGGCGGGCTGCCGAGGCCCGCGAGCTCGGGCCCACTGCGGCCCGCAGAGAGGCTCGCGGGCGCCGCCTCGCGACGGGCGTGGCAGGGCTCCGCGAGACGAAGGCGCCCAGCTGGTGGGCAGCTGGCTCGGACGGAAAGCACGCCGGCCAGGACCACGGCCAGTACCGCAGCCAGTACGACGATTGCGACAGCCACCACGAAAGCCAATATGGCAAGTGCGACAGCCGCTACGAGGGCCACTGCGACAGCCAGTTCGACAGCCAGCACGACAAGTAAGACAACCAGTCCGACACGTACGACAGCCAATACGAGAGACCCCTCCAGCTGAAGTGCACCGCCATTGAGGTACGTACCGACGCCCGTCCCCATGTTCTACGGCGGCTACGAGGCCCAGGAGGTCACAAAGGAGAAGAACGATATGGATGGCAACCAGTACGATCAGGACTACAGTCACACCCAGAGCGAACACGACCACGACCTGGACAGGCCTATCCCACTGTTCTGTGGCAGCTACGAGGCCGATGAGGGCAGGAGGACAGAAGGAGCCGCACGGCGCGCAGGCCGACGCCTCGTGAAGCCAATGGGCCCTGCCCCCTTCGGCGCTTCACCCCGGAGTTGTCCCGGGCTTCAGCCCAGAGAAACTGTCAAGATGGGAATTCCCCCCGCGGTTCCCCCCCCCCTACCGAGCCCATCGGGCTCTGTCGCCCGAGGGCACCTGCATGTTCGCCACGGCTGGATCCGCCTGGAATCCCTGCCCAGGACTCCCAGCCTGGTAAGACGGAGAAGGCGATGGAGGAAGAACGAGGCGAGCGTGCTGAGCCCAAAGTTCATCGTATCAAGCCTGACGATCTACGTACTCAAGAGAAGGACGAGGAGGTAATGGGTGAGGACGAGGCCTGGGAAGCGGAGGAGGCCAGGAACGGCAGACGTGATTAGGAAGGTGGTTAAGGAGGTCGGCAGGAGGGAGCAGGACCCTCTCAGCACCGATTACTTTCACGAGGCTGCCACCTGGTACTCGACGGCCATACGGCTTGCATTCAACAGCCAAAATGCAATTACCACAGCGCTGCAGGCGGTTCTGTCTAGACACCGTGCACAGGCCCACCTCATGCTGCGAAGTGGGCCGAGGCGGCGTCTGACTGCATGGCCGCCCCCTGCCTCAACAACCAAGACGTTGGGCGCAATACTGGCGCGCCGAGGTCCGCTCCGAAACGGAGAGACTGCAAGAAGTCCTCGATGACATCGAGCAGAATCCTCAAGAACGACACGGATAACGACAAGAATTTAGGAGAGGAAGAACAGGGTGGAGGATATGAGAGAATGATAATCGAGGCAAGCCGAATCAATCGATCCATAGCAGAGAGGCGTGGCACGCCATGCGCCAGCAAGGCGTCGTCGGCTGCCGCATCCGTCGGCGGGTGCCACCAGGAGGAATCCGAGGATCTCTCGCGGAGGTGGCACCGCCAGAACCCAAATGATACACGAGCGCAACCCAGACGAGATCAGCCACGCGTACGACTGGCACACCGGATGCTTACATCACTGCTGTGCAGCCGCTGCTCGCATGTCTTCGAAGACCAGGTCACGAGGACGTGGTGAGCGTGCCGCAGGTCGTGGAGGACGCGCAGGAGTGGCACGGCGCGCCGCGAGACGTGGAGCACGGGGAGCAACGCTGCGACGAGGAGTTGCGTTACGACGCGCCGCACGACATGCCGCGGGACGAGGAGGACATGCAGCAGGACGTGGAGGACGCGCCGCACGACGTGGAGGACGTGCAGGTGGTCGACGAGGAGATGCGTTACGACGAGCCGCAGGACCATGCTGCGAAGCGCAGAGAGCTCATGGCCAGCACCGGGAGGTGGCAGAGGGAGCACCAGCTCCGCATGAACACGATCGAGGCTGTATACCACCATGGCCACATCACGCGCGACCAATACGATCTCCGCCTCGACGCCGCGACAAGGACGATCCGAGACATGGAGCAGGCGCCCAACGATTACACCAACGAGAACAAGATCGACTAGCAACAACGTGCTATACCTCGCAATCCTTGTGCTGTACCTCACGATCGCGTACTGAGCGGGGCCAGAGGACGTCTCCTTTCCCCTCGCGAGGATCGCGACTTCCTCTCGCAAACCCGCGCCGCCGTCCGGGCATAAGACGCAGACACAGTAGACACGCGGAACACTTTCAGATTCGTAGCTTGCCGATCCTCGCTACTCCTTGCGACCGATTCGACGACTCCGGGCCCGACCGATTCGATGGCAGGCTTCGTGGGCCGCTGCTTCTGCATACATATTGCGCAGAAGCGAGGCCTCCCCCGCTCCCCCCCCTCCCCTTGCGTGAGATCAGTGCATAACTTACCCTTCCCTGCTCCTGCCCCCCCTCCGGAATACACCGTCGCCGGCGAGCGAAGTTACCGCTGCCGCAGCTTGTCGGGCGCCCCGCGGCGCGCGTCGGCTTCGGCGCTGGATCAGGGATCGCCGCGTAGCGCTGCAAGAGGAGGAGGAGAGGGAGGAGGAGGAGGAAAAGAAGGAGGAGGAAGAGAAGGAGAGAACAGGATTGAAGCGGAGGAGGATGAGGATGAGGATGAGGATGAGGATGAGGGCGAGGAGGAGGAGGAGCAGAATGAGGAAGAAGAGGAGGAGGAAGAAGAGGAGGAGGAGGAGGGGGGAAGCTGCACTCATACTTTTGCTCTGGGCCTACTTTTTCGGCCGAGACCCACGGCCCGCGAGCGCGGCGCGGCCCGCGCTCACCGGGCAGCGCCCATGGGGGGGAGGGGGCGCCACCACTCCAGGGGGCAGGGGGGCCTCCAGCATCCTCTTGGAGATCGGTGATCGAGGAACAAGGAGCAGGGTGTGAACTAGACGGTGTTTTCCGCGATCGTGTGTGCTTCGTTTTCCCTCGTTCTACCGTCGTTCCGCCTCTGCTGCAAAACAATATTAAATGAGAAAGGGCCACGAGCTCGCCAAAGCATCGTTCAGTTCGCGCCCTGGTGGGAGGGGGGACATCGAACACCGAGGAGGGTATTGGACGTTCTTTGGCGTTCGTGCGGAAATCCAGGAGACGAGCCTCCCTGGACCCCCAAAAACCAAACGTCCTCGGACTAGGATGCTCCCTTCCCCCAAGCGCAAGTGACCTCATCCCTTAGAGCGGAATGATTTCACATCGAATCGGGCAATCGTATCGAATCGGAACTCGCGTCGGATATATCAGCATCGGCACGAAATCGATATCGAATCGGATCGGTCGGACCAGACGGTACAACGCCACCGTGCAACCGCCTCGGATCGTCGGATTGTCGAAACCGAATCGGGTCGAGCCAGCCGGAATGGATATCGAA